AGAGAAGCCAACCTGACTGTTAAAGTTTCTAAATGCAAATGGGAGCCTCAGAGATATCAGTCCTGGGACACAGGGTGAGCAGTGGGCTGGTTCGCCCAAAACCCTTGAAAGTAGAAGCCAATAAAAGCTGGCCTCCCCCTAAAACAAAGAAGCAGGTCCAATCCTTTATTGGTTTGGCCAACTACTACAGTAGGTTTGTAAAGGGGTTCAGGGACATTGTTGCTCCCACAACTGACCTTACAAAGAAAGGAAAACCAGACAAGGCGATGTGGACAGAGGCCTTTGAACAGAGCTTCCAGAGCATAAATGAAGCTTTATCTAGAGAAACTGTCTTAGCCAGCCCTGATTTTGAGAAACCATTCCTGCTGTGCTTGGATGCTTCCAGTATTGGATTTGGGGCAGTGGTCATGTAAGAAGGGGAAGATAGTAAGAAACACCTGTGACAGAGTCAGGCCAGATGGCTACAGGAGAGTGATAGAAGGCAGATATATTAGCCCCAGGTTAAGTAGGTCCCTTTTCCCTGGGTAAGGTAACAGGGAAGGTTCCAGAACAATCAGGAACCTTCTGGAGACAATTAAGACACAGGCTGATTAGAACACCTGCAGCCAATCAAGAAGCTGCTAGAATCAATTAAGGCAGGCTAATCAGGGCACCTGGGTTTAAAAAGGAGCTCACTTCAGTTTGTGGTGCGTGTGTGAGTAGCTGGGAGCAAGAGGCACTAGGAGCTGAGAGTGAGAACACATACTGTTGGAGGACTGAGGAGTACGAGCATCATCAGACACCAGGAGGAAGGTCCTATGGGGAGGATAAAGAAGGTGTTGGGAGGAGGCCATGGGGAAGTAGCCCAGGGAGTTGTGGCTGTCACACAGCTGTTCCAGGAGGCACTCTAGACAGCTGCATTCCACAGGGCCCTGGGCTGGAACCCGGAGTAGAGGGTGGGCCCGGGTTCCCCCCAAACCTCCCAACTCCTGGTCAGACACAGGAGGAGTTGACCTGGACTGTGGGTTCATGAAAATGGCCAAACTGAGGGCTGCTGTGAAACTCCAAGTCGAGCAAATCCGCCAGTAAGCGCAAGACCCACCAAGGTAGAGGAGGAACTTTGTCACACACCTCATTGCATACTTAAGCAAAAAGCTAACATCAGTTGAGCAAAATTATGCAACAATAGAGAAAGAATGCTGTGCAATTGTGTGGGCTGTTAACAGAGGTGAAGGTAAGCCAGTACTCCGGTAAGGCGTACAGGCAAGCAGCAGAGGCGAGTTCTATGGCTCGTGGCTCCAGCAATATTGAGGGCCCGGGGGCCTGGCTCCACCAATGTTCAGGGCCTGGTCTCCCCCCTGGTCCCACCTACAGCCCCCCCACACCTCCCCCAAGTGTCCCCTGGTCCCCCCTTGCTGCCCCCGCACGCCTCCCTGGGTCCAGGAGCAGAGCCTCCATGTCTCTCCCCTGCAGCTCCATGCTGCCTCCCTGCATCAACTGCCGCCGCAGGCTCCTAGTGCCCCTCATCCATTAGTGGCAGGGCAGGCTGCCCTTCCCCTCAGACCCTTTCATTTTCCGGTGGAACCCTCCATCAGTACAGCAGCCCCCCGTGCCTGCAGTCACTGCTCCTGCCCCCTGTTGGGCAAGGCGCAGCCCCTTCCCCCACCCAGTGAGGCTATAGTGAGGGGCAGCAACAGGGGACAAGGTGCACATGTGATGGCAGCCCTCCACCATGGCACCCACCACAGGGGAGGCGAGGGGGATTCCTGGACCCGAGAGGGGCCCTAGGAGCATCTGCAGTGACAGTGGTGGGTGTGAGTATGCTGCTGAGGGGGTGAGGGGGTCCCTACCCCAGAGCTCACTTCTGCCAGCGAGGAGAGGGCTGGGGGGAGTCCTCCTCTCTGGCTCCAGTCCTGGGGCAGCCTGCCTGCACCCCAAACTCATCGCCAGTCCTGCCCCACCCCAGAGCCCACACCCCCAGCCTGAGTCCTCATCCCCCTACACCCGAACCCTCTGCCCTAGCCCTGAGCCTCTCCAATACCTCAAACCCCTCATCTCCAGCCCCAGCCAGAGCCCTCATCCCCCCCACACCCTAACCCTCTGCCTCAGCCCTGACCCGCCCCCACTCCCCAAGCCCCTCATCCCCAGCCTCACCCCACAGTTCTCACCCCTGTACCCCCTCCCATCCCCAAACTCCCTCCCAGAGCCTGCACCTGAACCCCTCCTGCACCCCAATCCCCTGCCCCAGCCCAGGGCCTGCACCCCAGACCTCCTCCCTCACCCAGACTCCCTCCCAGAGCCTTGGGCAGGTGGGGGGTGGAGTTGGGGGGGCAGAGTTTGGGCAGGGGCAGGTTCTGGGCACCACCAACATTTCTATAAACCTGCCACCCCTGCTGGCAAGAGCCGGTGCGCCATCCTGGGGTGGACCGGCTTCCCCAAGCGGCAATTTAAAGGGCCTGGGGCTCCCAGCAGCGGCTGGAGCCCCGGGCCCTTTAAATTGCCTCTAGAGCCCTGCTGCCGGAGCCCTGGGGTAGCCCCGGGCCCTTTAAATCACTGCTGTAGCCCCACTGCCGCTACCCCAAGGCTCCAGGGACAATTTAAAGGGCCCGGGGCAGTAGAGGCAGCTGGAGCCCCAGGCCCTTTAAATAGCCCCCGGAGCCTGCCGGAGTCCTGGGGTAGTGGAGGCAGGGCTCCAACGGCTATTTAAAGGGTCCGGGGCTCCCACTGCCTCTACCACCCCGGATCCTTTCAATAGCCGCCGGAGCCCAGCCGCTGCTACCCCAGGGCTCCGGCAGCAGGGCTCTGGGGATGATTTAAAGGGCCCTGGAGGGTAGTGGCAGCCGGAGCCCTGCTGGTGGACCCCTGGGGCTCCGTCAGCAATTTAAAGGGCCCAGGGCTCCACTGTGGTAGCGGCAGCTAGAGCCCCGGGCCCTTTAAATTGCCCCCTTTAAATCGCCCCCCGAGCCCCAGGGATCCCAGCCACCTCTGCAGCTGGGAGCTCAGGGGGTCATTTAAAGGGCCCAGGGCTTCCAGCTGCTGCTACCACAGCCCTAGCCCCGAGCCTTTAAATCCTGGTTTAAAGGGCCTGGGAATTTAAAGGCCCCGCCTCTTCCGGTAGAGGCCACGCCTCTTCCGGTTGAGGCCCCTCCCCCTACCCAGGACTCCAGAGTATCGGTGGCAAGTCCTTTAAGTTACTTTCACCCCTGGCTGTTAAGCAACTTATACCCTATTTGTACAACAGAAGGTTCACCACATTAAGAAATCGTGCACCTCTCATACGGCTACACAGAGCTAAGGGAACCAATTCTAGGTTGCTTCGCTGGAACATAATTCATATTAAAGGGAACAAAAATGTAGTGCACATGTACTGCCGAGAATGGGGAACTCCTAAGATGCATAATAAGGGTGTTTTTTAAAGAAATAACTGTTTCAATTATCAGAAATATTATTTAAAATAACTAATACAGGATAGTTGTCAGTCTGTGACCTTGAGCTAGTGTGAAGACACCTCACAAGGCGCTCCACCCTGACTGAGACACAGTAGAGTTGGAAACCCATGTCATTTTTACAAAGCCACTTTTTAGTTTTAAATGTATAGTGGGCATCAGTCTTAATGCAACTCTCTATCAACCTTATACTGTAACTAGATCAATGGCATTATCCAGTTTAAAAAGCTGGGTTTCCAAACAGTGGCAAAATATAACCCTAGTTTTACTCCTAGGTAAAGCACAAAGTGACCAAAATGAAGTCAGCACAGAATCATCTCATCTCTATTAAGGCAGCACAGAACGGTTACAGGAGTCCTGTTGTGCCTTATTTTTGTTTGGAAAGACATTAGCAATAGCAGCACATTTTGGGCACGGCCAGAAATACATGATAAATCACTGCCTCTAAAGTTCCATCAAAACCTGACATGTTCACAGCTCTCGCATGCTCTGCTGCACAGATTCTTCACAAGGAAGTGTCCCTGGCCTTGTCAACTCATATTAACTGAGTATTTACTTTAAGAAAGTTGGACAAAACACTGTGAAAACGTAAGACATTGGCTGCCCAACCTCTGGGCTGTCAAAAGCCATACTGACTCACTGGGGAAAAGGAGCAAGAGAATCTTAGTACAACATATGGTCACTCTATACCCTAGTAAGGAGATGCGCATATTACAGTTGTTGGAGGGCTCTATTTAGCAGTAACAGGGCTATTGGAAAGCCAGTCAGCATTTTTTGTTTCTCTGATGAAAACTGGCCCGCTCCCTGCCCCAAACAATTGTCAACAACTTAATTTTCTGGTTCTGGCTAAGATATTGATTTAAAAAAAAATATTGAAATTGGATTCAGGATTGTTAGCAAGCATTTTTGGCACACAAAGTTGTTAAATGACAATCTAAATGGCGACACAGTACTGCCTTCATGCTTGGCTCACTCACGCCCCAGGCTGCTGCTCCAACAGCTGCAGCAGAGGAGGAGATAGGTGGAAAACTGCAGGACCCCAAAATCTACCTCTTGGGGTGCAGAGTGGCAACAGCAAACCCTCAGGTCCGATCACACACCAATGGGCACCACTGCCAGCCTAATGGACCAGGGTGAAGTTAGCACAGCATCTGATCTCAGGGATGGGGCACCTACGGAGCCACAGCAGCTCATCCTGCCCTGCGCAGCTCCCCTGCAGATGAGAAGGATCGCTGCCAGCCCGGGGGAGAGACGTGTTCCCCAGCTAGGGTGACCAGATGTCCTGATTTTATAGGGCCAGTCCTGATATTTGGGGCTTTGTCTTATATAGGCACCAATTACCCCCACCTAGGGTGACCAGACAGCAAGTGTGAAAAATCAGGACAGGGGATGGAGGGTAATAGAAGCCTATATAAGAAAGAGACCCAAAAATTTGGACTGGCCCTATAAAATCAGGACATCTGGTCACCCTACCCCAACCCCCGTTCTGAGTTTTCACACATGCTATCTGGCCCAGCCAGCTGCATGTGACCCTTCCAATCCTGGCTGGCTGCCGAGGAAGTGAGTTACTTTCACTTTAATTCCTCAGCACGCAGCCAGTCAGCCCCCCCCCCCTTCCCCTCACCCAACCCAGACTGCCAGAGGGGAGGTGGGGAAGGGTGCTCCGTGGGGAGAAGAATGGACCTTATGGGAGTGGGGGCAACAAAGGATACTGCAGCCGCTGAGCCTGCCTCACCTCACGCAGGGGGAGAGAGTCACACTCACAGGTGAGTTCCTCCTTCCCCTACCCCTCCCCTCTCCCCTTCCCAGAGACCCCAGCAGCCAATCTCCTCCCTCAGACTGTGCTGCATTCAGTTCTCTCTAGGACCCAGCATCCCTGCTCTTACATGCTCCACTGCTTCCCATCTGTCCGGACTCCCGGCAGAGTGGTGCCCTACACGGCTGCCTATTCTGCCTATGGCTAAGGACGGCCCTGGGGGGCAGCTGTCATGCAAGTGTGCAGGGCCATTAATTGCCTCCTACTACACAGGACTGCGACTCTGGGAAATGTGCAGGACATAAGTGAATGGTTTTGCAGCAATGGGCTTCCTGAACTGTGGCACACAATAGATGGCACACATCTCTATTTTAGCACCAAACCACAGAGCACATCGAGGGAGAAGGCTATTTTTCTATGGTAATGCAAGCACTGGTGGATCACCATAAATGCTTTCCTGACATCACTGTGGGCTGGTCAGGGAACGTGCATGATGCACACATCTTTAAGAACACAAGACTGTTCAGAAAGCTAAATCAGGGACTTTCTTTTCCAGCTGGTGGATTATCATCAGGAATGTTGAAATGCTAACAGTGATCCTGGGAGACCCAGTCTACCCCTTGCTCCCATGGCTCATAAGGCTGTACACCAGGTACCTCAACAGCACCAAGGACCGTTTGAATCACAGGTTCAGTAGGTACAGAAAAATAGTTGAATGTGCCTTTGGTTGTCGGAAGGGTCAATGGCATTGTCTATTTACGAGACCGGACCTCAATGAAAAAAAATGCCAAAGATTGTTGCTGCCAGCTGTGTGCTGCATAATATCTGTGAAGCGAAGGGGGAAAAGTTTCCACTAGGCTGGAGGGCGGAGGTGGCGTGAACGGCTGCCCGCTGAATGTGAATAGCCAGATACAAGGGCTATAAGAAGTGCTCAACACGGAGCTATATGGCTCAGGGAGGCTCTGAAAGACCATTTTAATAGGGTTCATAGTAGTGTGCTCTAGCTGGCCTTGGTCTTTTGCAGCCCAGTATGAATCTTGTAGCAAGTGTTGTGTGTGTAGTAATATAACTTTGTTAATGCACCTTTTAATACTGTCTGAGAATGATATTGTGCGTTCTGGAATAAAATGAAGTAACAGGAAATTGGGGAGTGTCAGATGTGCTCAGCACCAGCCAGCATATGTTGTGAACGAATAAAGATGAATTATGTTTCAAAAAATAGAATTTTATTCTGTAATGTGAACCAGGCAAATGATTAAACATTTAGAACTTTATAAAACTTGATAAATTAAGGGAACACAACCTACAAAGGGGAAAGAACTGCCATTTTATATTTTAGGTGGGCACACACCAACCATGTCTTTCACAGGTCCGTGTATGTGCAGCTGTGATGGTCTTTAATGTCCCCCGGATTGGATTGGTAGGGGCAGTGCAGTGCTCCCTGATGCCATGTGGAATGTTGAGAGGTGGTGTAAGGAGGTCCCAACATTGAGTTGTCTACTGGCTGCAGAGGGAGGTAAGCCTGGGATTCTTGGACCTACAGCTCTACCAGAGTCTGTAGGATCTTGGTTTGCTGCCTGAGAAGCACCATTATGCTCTGGTGCATCTCCCTCTCCTCTCCTCTCCACTCCTTCCTTCCCCATGATGTCTGCAAGAGTCATCCTCCAGGCTCTGTTCTCATTCTCTGATGCAGCACAGGCTTACAACATGTCCTAGAACACATGATCCTGAGTCCTCTTCTTTCTCCTTATCTGGCTCAGGCTTTCTGTGGGTGTGGAGGAGTAGACCCTAAAGGCCACAACACACAGGAGTACCATTGTCAGAATATTCACAACAGAAATCAAACTTTAGGATACTGGACTCACACCTCTTGATCCCCAAAAGTTGTGAGCACTGCATTCTCACTTCTCCTTGGGATGATACAGTCCTGTGCCAGTCACAGCACCAGCCATGGCGAGTATGGCCCTTGGGCTGGGGAGATGGTTGGGGAATTGAAGGAGGATAGCTCAGTTAATATAGTTGTATAGAGCAATGGAAGTGAATAGTGGCACTGTTTTCCACCGGCAGGGGTGATTTTAGCTAGTAACTCACTTCTGAGGGTAACAGCTGCTGCTGGCATCCCGATGCCACCTGGGCCGGTATGCTGCTAGCCTATGTACTACAATGGTGCCTGTTGAAGTAATCACTGAGTGGCATGGAAGAGTGTTCTACTGCAGCAGAAGAAATAAGGCAGCCCTCCCCAGAAACCTTTGGCAGAGGATTGCAGAGTACCTTCATCACAGTTTCATCACTATCTCTATGGAGAATTCACAGGACATCCTGGAGAACATAAAACAAACTGCTCTGCATGGCCCCCTCTGTCTAACTCTGGAGGGGGATGAGAAGCAGATACCACCACCACGTCTCTTGGTTGTTTCACTACCTCTTCTAGCATAAATAAAAGAGTAAATCAACACGTGTCCTGCTAGTTTGGGGGGTTCCATCTCTGTAATTTCAAAGCAAACGGCATACTTACCCTGCATCAGGCTTGCTCTTGTGTGACTGTCAGAACTGGCTGGACTGCGATGGGGTCAAAAAATACCCTGGCTCACTGTGCAGCTGGATCCTCTGGTCGTCTGTCCCCCATACTCCTCCTTGCTGTTCATGGCAGGGTCCTGTGACTCGGGCTCCTCCAAAGTATCCACAGGGCTCAGGTGTGGGGTCTCTCTCAAGGATGGCATGGACCTCTTTGTAAAAGTGGCAGGTCTACAGCTCTGCACCAGATTGATTGTTGACCTCCCTTGCCTTCTGTTATGCCTGCCACAGCTCCTTGGCTTTCATGCGGCATTGCTGCTGGTCTCTCTTCTAGCCCTTCTCCTGCATGCCCCAATGAATCTGCTCATAGACGTCAACATTTCTACAGCTGGATCGGAGTTGTGGCTGCACTGCCTCTTCTCCCCACAAACCCAGGAGGTACAAAACCTTCTGCCTACTGCAAGTAGCTGGCATGGGCAGGTGAGCAGTTGCACATAACAATGGAGTGTTGTTGCTAGGTATTTGCCAAGCCGGGCAACCAGGAAAAGGAATTTCAAAAATCTGTGGGGCTTTAAAGGGGAGGAATAGTTTCCTGTCCACCTGGCCCACGGGAAATGGAGTTCACAACAGTGACCAGAGTGGTCACTGTGGGGCATTGTGGGACAGCTCCTGGAGGCCAGTAACAGTTGACGTAAGTAACACAGTATCTGAGTCGACCTAATTACATCAACCTTGACTCTCCACCACTCAGGGAGGTGGTGGTGTTAAGCTGCCATACCGGGGCAGTTATATTGGCAGGAACAAAATTTAAGTGTAGACACATCCATAGCTGGGTTGATGTAAGCTGCCTTGTGTTGACCTAACCATGCAGTGTAGACCAGGCCTTAGTGATCAGATCTGGTGCCCACAGGTTCTTCTGGGCCAACTTGCAGCAAGCACTGAAGACAAAAGGATGGGAAACAGATGATGAGCATAGACTTGTCTTGCCCCACATCTAGATGGGTTTTCAATATGCCTCTCATTAAGCGTTTTAAATAGAAGGCAGGAGTTCGGCATTTTCACATCATAACACTGAGATTGTTGTTTTGCTTTTAGTAGAAAAAGGGCACCAGGCTTCTATCTCCTCTTCTTCTAGTTACGATAGATTTTGAAGTCCAAGAGCTACATATGAGCCAGTATCAATAACAAATAGCCGTCAGGCTTGTCCAGGTAGTTAACAGGTCACTTGTTGCCAGACTCATATTGGGATTCCAGGTGAATGGATGCCTCCAGAGGAAAACATCTGTGTGTCTGCCTCTGAGAGCAGCAGCCCAGTTCCTTGTGTTTTTGTTTTTGGGCAGAAGTTTGGCTCGAGCTTTGTGCTTCATTTGTATTTGTTGCTGTTTTGTTTTTAAACATGGAAACTACCTAAAGAGCCAAGTTAACAGCTCTGCTAGTCTGTCCCCAATTACATAAAAATTAAAGGGCAAAAGACCTATTAAGACATCTAGTCCATTTTCCAACACTCCTCGTTAGACAAGACTGTTACCTGCAGTGTATTCTCCTGTGCTTTGGCGAAGCTAGCTGTAAGTAACAGAAGTGATGGGGCGGACACTGCTTCCCTTGGCAGGTTAAAACATCGCCACTCACCTTTGAAAATCACAAAGAGTCACATACACACAAGGCAGGCAACAGGCTTTGGAATGTAACAATTTATTGGGGTTAATATTTTTCATTAACTCCCCATTTCTGGCATCGATACAATACTCAAGAGCAGCAGAAAGAACAAAATGTACAAGAATACGAGAGTAATTAGCACAAACTGCCCCCAAACCCAGAACAAGCCATTTTTCCGCTGGAAACGCCAATGGGAGGGGGATCCTATCGCCCCACCCCGCGTCCCATCCATCCACTCTAGACAGAGTTTAGCCAGCTGGGAACTGGATTAAAATAAACAAACGCAAACACTATATTTAAAAATGAAAATTACAAGACAAAAAAATATATAGATATACAATTCATTCGTGCATGATTCTTTAATTAAATGCATTTTTCAAAATAAAAAAAAGTTACAAGATATTTAGGTTTATTTTAAATTAAAAAAAGTCACCACCTCCCCTCTCTGGGTAGGTCTCCAGTTGGCTCCGGGTGTGTGATTCCCAGCTTGAAGAGACATACTTGTGCCAGCTCTCAGAGCTTGCATACTAAAAATAGAGTGAAGCCATGGTGGCACAAGCCACAGGACGGGCTAGTTGCCCCGAGTACATGCCCGTCTGAGACCCTAGAGTAGCTAGCCAGTCCTGAAGGTCGCACTGCCACAGTTACACTCTATTTTTAGTGCATTAGCTCAGTAAGAAATAGTGTGAATGTCTCCTTGAGCTGGGAATCACACAACCAGCTTAAAGGGTAACCATACCCTGTATGCCAAGTGTGGGGTAGGTATGGGGGGGGGGGGGTATATGGGTTGCATCAGGACCATCACCATTATAGAAATTAAATCAAAATCTCTCTCTGGGATAAAGAGTAAGGCCCTGATCCTGCAAAGACTTATGCACATGCTTAGCTTGAAGCAAGTACCTCTAGACATCAGTGGAACTACTCGCCTGCTTAAAGTTAAGTACTTGCATAAGTCTGCAGGACCTGGGCTTCAGTTTGGCACCTGGGGAGGTGGAGGGAAGAGGCAGATGTGCAAGCCCTGATTCCCACCCCCCCTTGCAATTTTCCACCCAAAATTTAAAAAAAGAAAAAAAAAAAAAAAAAAAAAGAATCCTCTACTGTTAAGAGGAGAAGGGGGGGCATGGCAAGTAGTTTAGCTCCAAAATTTAGATTTTAAAAAAATATGATGGTAGATTTATTTATTCTCAGAACTTGAATGAAGTTTCCTCCCCCCACAACAAGGAAACCCACTTGTCCCTGCTACACTGGAAGAGTCAGGGCTACTCCTGGGGAAGTTAATTTCACCATCCTAGCGGAAGTGCAAAGAAGAAAACTGCAATAATGGGGAAAATTTACTTGGATTTAAAAAGACACAGTTCCTGTATGAGGCCCCAATCCAGTAAAGTACTTAGATCCATAACCACCCGCTTAGAAGTTTCGTGCATGCTTTAAGTGCTTTGCTGAACAGGGATGGATTTAAGTATGTGCTTCGATGCTTTGCTGAATTGGGGCATCATGGGGTGTTAGCTAATACAGGGATTAATGTTTAAACTACTTAACCTGCCATTACCCCCCATCAAATTAATCTCTCTTGAATCACCCACCATTGCCAATATTTAAGATCACATTACTCTGATTTCTCTTACTGATGTTCTCCTTTGGGGTAATCACCCTGTTTCTTTCCTCTGCCACACTATTTCCCCAGTTGCAGCCATATCTCAATACCCTCTTCCCCATACCAGTCTTAGATTGGCCAGAGTGCAAAAGTGGGGCAGTCCACACCCCAGACTGAACATGCTGTCTCTGCAGAAGACCCCAGACAGCACCCCCTTGAGGGACAAGAGTGGAACATCCCTAAGGGATTGATGTGTCCTGTTAGGGTGGAAAGCAGGTCTTGGATGCAGTTCTGCATCGAAGACAGAACTCTGGATGGCCCTGTAGGGTTTCATCTTGTGCTAGGCAGCAGAAGGTGGGAAGGACAGAAGAACTGCTAGAGGTACAACCCTGGAAAAACTGGTATCTTCCTTTGTTACCTGACTGAGATTCTTTTTGGGGGGCGGGGGAGAGAGAGGGGAGGAGAAGAGAAGGGACTTCTTGGTCTCCACTTCTTGTAAACCAGTGAGGGCTATCTCAACCTTGGAAGTGAATAGCATGTTTTAATGAGAATACAGGACCACCCCAGTGTCAACACAATTGCCTCGCTTTGGGGGAGGAGACGACTAGGAGCAGTAGGGATGCCCAGATCTGATGCTGGATAACTGACGTGGGGAGGTTAAGCGGCAAATGGAAAAATAAGGGTGGGGGAAGAGGAGATGAGAGATTCTGCTCCTCAGAAATGTACACACTGCACTTTTGGAGGAGGGCCAAAACGCTCCCTCATTCAAAGCCAGAGTGACAATGCAATGGATTTATAAAGTATCTGGGAAGGAATGCGTGGGTTCTGAAGCAATACTCAGCCCTTCTATAGCTCTATATGCACATTACTAAATTTTAGCCTCCCAGCAACCTCTACAGGGCATTGCCCCCATGGTACAGACAGGGGAAGAGAGGCAAAGGGCCTTGAAGCAACTTGCACAAGGTCACAGGAAATCAAAAGAACCCAGGAATGCCTAGCTCCCAGCCCCAAGAGCAACCTTCTGAACTATTATGCGTTTGATATACGGATTGGGACGGATTATGTGGGGGGTTCTTTTATATATATATATATACATATATATCTATATATATCTATATTCATATAAAAAGTAAATAAGATCCCAGCTCTTGCATGATATTGGGCAATCCAAAAAGCAGCAAAGCAAGCAACACTGGAGAAAAGGATACATCAGGCCAAACAGTGCAAGGCCTCAGTTAGAGGTGTGGGGATGGGAGACGGACAAGCACTCCTCCAAAGGGACACAGAGCACTTAGCCAGACACCCATTCTTGGTTTGTTGCACCTCCTTACTCAAATCCTGGCTATGGAACTGGAATCCCACACCCGCTGGCGAGAAGGGCCATCCCAGTTGGTTACGCTACTTTCTCCTCCCACCATCCCACATCCACAGACACCACTGTTGACGTGGTGTGGAGGGCGGGACTGTGGGGGAAATGACTACCTGCCAGCACAGCTGCTCCCCCACCCCAACCTGTGCTTTAGCTTGGATATCCACAGGGAGTTCCGACTCTCCATCCCCAGTACTGTCAGGTCCATGAAGGAAGTTAGATTGACTGTTGGGAATATTGCAAAGCGCCTGAAACTTCCTTTAACAGCAGAGGTGAGGAAGGGGATTTAATGACCCAGGAAGACTCAGCTCAGACAGCACCCATTTGGTAAAGGAGGGAGGGTACCTTACCTCCATCCCAGCAGGGGTGGCAGGAGAGGGGTGACTGAAGTACAGGAGATGCGGAGACACTCCCCCATCCCCTGAAAAGACACAGCAAGTAAGTGGCTCACCTAAGATTAGAAGGCAGAACTCCCCACTGGGCCTACATACATCCTTCCATCCCTGCAAAGGCTTTGTATGCTTGTCAGCTCCATGCCCATATGCTAGCTTCAGTGAGACCAGAACGGAGTGCTGAGCAAAGGTGGGAGATTAGTATGTACGCTCAGCTCAGGACTGAAGCTGTAGGTCAGGACAGAGGAGCACTGGCAGAGCTCAGGGGTGAAGAGTGGAGAAAATGAGTTCCCAAGAACAACCCAGAGAAGGGAAGAGACAGTTTTGTTTTTTTACCCAAAATGCACAGAGGAGACCCTGACAAGCCAGAAATCTTAGAGTCCCATATCTAGTAACTTATTACATTCAGACGCCAACGCCTGGTTCCCATCCTCTTTCCTACAGTCACCCCAACACAGCAGATGAACAATATGCAGCAAAGAGACACAGTGCAGCCTTGGCTGGGAAAGCTCCCTCCACCACTATGGGACATTCACACATCCCACAGTCCAGGAGACTACAATCCTGCGCTAGTAAAAACCCACCAACGCCATCCTGGCTCTCACCCCTACATGCACTCGATGCACCCCAGCCTTCCCAAGGAGAGGGTGATCCCCACTTGTCCAAAACTTCAGGTACACGTAGGGGTTTCTGCCTTCCTCTGAAGATCTGGTAGTGGCCATTGCCAGAGGTGGGACACCAAACTAGACTGGGCTACATCGGGTTCTGCTGTGGCAAATTCTGTATTTAAAATGCCATTTCCACCAAGCACTGAAATCAGTGAGCTGATAAGACAAGGAAGGGAGCTTTGCCTTGTTCTGAATGAGCATTTATTCTGCTCTTGGGGTGGTTATCTAGCAAGAAAGATGCAAGCCAATCCAAGATCTCAGTAGCTCCACTCACATGCCATTTCCATTTTACCAGCCTGGCCCAGACCCCATCAGGTCAGGATTTACCATTCTGCAACAACTTTGGCACCACTGTACCTGGGAAGGGGAGAAAAATACAGAGCCTCTGTCTAATTTCTGGAGAGGGGGCAGGGAAGGGAAATGGTAGTGCTGTTGGATGGAACTCATGCCAACACTTGGGGAAGTGGGGAAGAGAAGGGTAAATTACATGGGTTTTCTCCAAAACAGGACTTGCCTCTTCAAATCAAAAATTGCTGGTTACCCCAAGGACACCCTCCTCCAGTTCAAGTGAGCCAGATACCATCCCAGACACACACTTTAACACTACAAAATACTCTCTTCTCTAAGGACCATCTAATACCACTACAGTTTGTGCAATCACTGCATTTATTATTCATTTTTAAACTCTCTCTCCCCCTATAGAAATTTCATTTTTTAAAAACTTTTCTTTTTTCTTTTCTTTTCTTTTTTTTTTTTGAAAAACTATTCATTTCACTTTTTCCACTTTCCATCATAAAATCTCCTCTAAAAACACAACAAGAGAATAAACATGGCACAGACACAGACTGTTCCCCTGGTTTTGGGGGAATGCTTTTGAATACTCCCCCCAACCCTACGCCCTCTCTGAAAGGCATGGATGGGACCTCCCTTTTATCTTCCAGTAGGGAGGGAGGAAAAAATAAATGGGAGATGGAAGGTGAGCATAACCCACATTCATACCAGCGTGGGGTTTTGTCAGCCTCTAGTGGCTGGACCACACAAAGATTTATGAGACTGCTACTGCCTGTTCTTTAAGCTCAAGCAATAGAGACTCATGCTTTTAGATCCAGAGGTTCAGGGTTCAATCCCCACAGGTGACCCACCCAGGAGGGTGGTGACAAATGGACTCAAGCTACTTCCCCTGACTGGATTGCACGTCTTTCCTACTGAGAGATGATCTACGATACGAGTTCCTCCAAAGCCCACTGCCCCTCTCCTGTCTTTATAATTCCAGGAAGAAGGGTCACCGAGCCCCCATGCAATCCTCTGGCCAATGCTTCAGAGGAAGGCGAAAACCACTTATTATGGAAAAATCCAGGAACACCAAACAACAGACATCAGGAGGGGAAAAAAAAAAACAAAACTCTGCCAAGTGATCATTTCTTGGCTAAAACATGTCAAGAGTTTCCTATGAAAGTTCCCTTTTTTCTCCCACTTAAACTTTTCAAATATTTCTGAACTTTATTACCACGAAACAAGAACGCCATCACATACACGCCAAGAGTAACCAAGCAACCTAAAAAAAAGTGACTGGCTGGCATGCATCTACTCTGTAAAATAGTTCCTCTTATCTTGCAGCCTCATAAATTAATTCCTTTTTAAAATCATCTCTTTTTAAAACACAAGTCTCCTTGTTATTCTCCCAATATAGATCTCCCACCTCTCCAAGGCCTGCTTGTTTTTGAAGTTACCATGAAATAAGAGAACCCTGCATGTGCAAGGTGAAGGAAAGATGCAAAACAAAGCAGAGACAACAGGCAGGTATTAATTCACATACACACATACATATCCAACAAATTACAGGAAGCCTTGGACTGATGAATGAATGGGGAAGTCTCCCCCACCCTGTATTTGGTTTTGAAATATTCTGCTGGATTTTAAAAGTTTTATTTAAAAAACCCATAAAAGATGGGCAGCTTTGTGGAGGTGGGTGTTGTGGTTGTGTGGGAATACAACTAACCACATATGGGATCATCTCTCAGATTGGCTACACACAAACTGGAGCTAAACTCATTTGAATTCACGTTTTTAAAATTTTGATGCAAGTTTCTGTGTAGACATTTATTTTGCAGTAGGTGAGTTTTAAGGCTGGTCTACACCTAAAAATTAGATCACACTAGCCACGTTGCTTATGACTGTGAAAAATGTTGTGCCCTGTGCAATGTAGTTAAGTCAACCTAACCCACATTGTAGGCGCAGCCAGGTCAGTGGAAGAATTCTTTTGTCAATCAAGCACCTCCTCTTGAAGCGGTGGTTTTATTACACCGACAGAAAAACACCTTCTGTCACTGTAGCAAGTGTCTACGCTGCAGTGGCGTAGCAGCAGCCATAGCGCTTGTAGTATAGACATACCCTTCAAATCCAGGGTGTCTGCATGCAAAACCACAAAAGGGGTGAATTCCTCCCAATTTAGTTATTTTGGTGGCTGTGTGACAGAGAGAGAGAGAGAGACACTCTCCTTAGAGCTGAGTTTCTCTCTCCTTCCCCCAGTACGTGCAGCCCTGTAGGCATATAAAGAATTATGGATCCCACAACAGGCGACCCCTCCCACCCCCTTTTTCCCCGTGGTCAGGGAATCAAGGCAGACACTTACTGCAACACTAATTTAGATGGACTTTATCAACCCCTCTTCCCCACACCCAAGTGTTTCACAGATTCGGCAACAGAGGAGTGGGGAAGTGAGGGAGGGGTATCCAGCCACAAAGCTCAGCACTGAGTCAAACAAGCCACTAATGGTAAAGAAGAGCGCTTTTGCACATTTGGACATTAAGAGTATGTCTCAGGGAACTGGAGGAAGCCACATCATCGCTTGCTTCCAATTACAGAGGGTGGGGGCGATTCCAGATCCAATTTCACACTGAACATGTAAAAACAAGGAGTTGGGGAGTGGGGGGGGGGGAGCAGATGAAGGAGAGGCAGGCAGGCAGGCAGGCACACACACACACACACAAACAAACAAACAAAATGCAAGACACGGTAATTCTTACAACAGGTTCTTAGCACCTTTGGTTGACAATTGTAGAGGCAATTTTAGATCCTGGAAATGGTTGCAGTGAACCCTCTCCAACGCACCCACCACAAACAGATGAAACCAAGCAGGAAGAGTAGCAGATCTTCCTTCACACCCACAAGGCTTGTGAAGTGATTCAGTGGACCCAAGGAGGCTTATATTTTTCCTGGGAGGTAAGACCTGTTGACCTCATCCTGCTGGGGTAATGTCATGCCAAGCCATTGCTCCTCCTGAATTGAAGGACGGATGTGTGGCTTTCCCACTTCCACTAGGAAAAGGCTTAGGAAGGGTACGGCATGCCTCAGACCCGAGCAAGTGCAAGTGATGAACAGAAGGAGGAAGATCCAGGCTGGAAGTGACAGGCGCAACAAAGCTCAGCAGACTGGAAGATCTGGAAGGGAAGGAGCAGAAGGGAGGAGGAAGGGCCCAGGCAGTCTCAAAGTGCCCATACAACTGCCAAGTTAGCACCAATAGTAAAAGCAAGAAGGAAGTGAGCCTGGGGCATGTGTTGTAGGGTTGCAACCCCCCACTTGAGCTCTGTTGCAATTTCGTTCTAACCCTGATGCTTTAACTTCTGATCTCCTCCCCTCCTCTTCCTCCCCCTCCCCCTCCCCCCAATAGTATCCCTCTCCCAGAGATGCAGCCAGAACTACTGAAGCTGGATCATAAGAGACAGCTAACCCATGCCACAGAGAAGGGAGAGGGTCAGAGCTTCCCTGGGAGAAGGCAGGGTGAAGAACTGGAGAAGTGGAGGAGTGTGTGTACAGTGCATGGCAGAGGGGGAAGGTGGAGGGTAGCACAGCCCCTTTCAAATGCCTTATCCATCTCTCCAGTAGTAGGAGTTCCCCCATACTTTCAGAAAAGATGGGGGGGGGAGCCTTCCCCACTCAGCCCCAACACACACACACACACACACCCCCGTTGTCACCCAGGCTCCACACCAGTTTGACAACATGTTCTTTGAAGACAAATGATCATTCCCCAGCCCAACCCCTCGCAGCTGTGACATCTGGGAACTTCAGACACCTCTGCCCTCTAACTCCCACCCCAGTCTCCAAGCAGAAAGAAAAAGAACCGGGGAAGGAGATGGGGGGAGAGCAGGAGAAAACTAACAACAGCCATTCACACCATGACTTCTTCCAGCAGAGCCTCCCCTACCCCCCCGAAGCTGGGAGCCAACTTCTCACTTGCTGCCTCCTCCACCTGCTGCCACCTTCTCGAAATCCTCTGCGTTGCAGAACTCCTTGATGGTGACGGTCAGGAGATTGCTGGTGACATCTGTGACCACCACATTGGAGCAGGGGGACATCTCAGGGCGCCAGTCGCCAGCCTCCTGCTCCGGGTCAGAAGAGGAGAGGGATGATGAGGGCGTCTGGCCCCCAGCACATCCCCCGGGGGGAGAGCGCTTGCTGGTGGCTGCTGATTCTGGTGGGATCGACAGGTCCAGGACCTCCGACTCGCGCCAGTCAGGAATGGCAGGGCTCAGGGTTTCGGGAAGCAGCTTTGGGGGAGAATCGTCTGGGTCGGAGGAGGAGTGAGGGGTAGGAGAGGGGCAGCCTGAGGAGCTGGAGCTGTGGGCATCGTAAGGGGTGGAGCCCATGACCAGCCCGCAGGAGGCACCTTGTGAGCCTCCTGCCTCCATCTTGCCCTCCAGAGATGTGGCCGGTGCAGCGGACGGCTTGTTGTACAGCGAGAAGGTGCCAAACTTCATGTGGCGGATCTGGGTGCGGAGGATGCTCTCGCTGAACTTCTTACTCTTGCCAATGACGCGGTTTCGTGAGGGGATCTTTGGACGGGCCAGGCCCCCGCCCCCACTCGCGGCCTTCCCGCCCTTGTCAATAACCTTGAGGTTGAGGATGATGCGGCTGCGTTTGGGCTCACGAGGCTTCACCTTGCGGTTGATGATGCGGACGGTCTCGGAGAAGGGCGAGACTGGCGGACGTATGCCAGCCCCTCCTCCCACTCCCCCGCCGTTCTGGGGGTCTGGGCGGGGCAGGGGGCGCCGGGACATGCGATGACATCGCCGGATGTCTTTCTTGAGCCGGTGCACTGCAGCGCTGGAGTGCAGCTTGGGTGACGAGGTGCTAGAGCCAGGCTTGACAGAGAAGTGTACATCCCCAATGTGAAGGGCCTCCGCCTGGGCCCGAGCCTGCGGTGGTGGGGGAGAGAGCAGAATGGAGTCAGAGACGACCTGAGATTTGCCAGGCCTTGAATCGGGGGCACCTCAGCTTGTGGTGACAAGACCACATGAGAGGCACCCTGTCAAGAGCCAGAGGGCTACACCTTGTTTGTATACAAATTACACATTTAAATGAAGAACTAAATGCACAGGACCCTAGTACTAAGGTAACCCAGTGGCGAACGGCTGCCAGAAGTCCCCCTCAGTGCCTGTTACAGCCCCTAGCTATGGAGCTTTGGCTTTTTAGTTCAAGCTGTAGCAGCTACTGCTTTAGCTCCGGAAGTCCCCTGTTCAATCCCCAATGCATCAGCCAGGACGGCAGCTATGACACTTGCATCATCTTTGACAGATGAGAGAAATGACCTGCCGGTGTGTGTTCAGCAGCAATTAAAACAACCAACCAAGGAACTCAGAGCCATGGGAAAGGAACAGCAGACTTCATCTGCAGACTGTTACTATCGATCACCATGAACGGCTCCCTCCACAAACAAGGGAGTTAGTGCAGGGCAGCCGGTCAGGTTCTAGGACTTACCAAGGACTGCACTTGGAGGAAGTCTGAGACTACGTCTACACTACAGCCTTATGTCGGCAGAACTACGTCGCTCAGGGGTGTGGAATATCCTCACCCCAAGCGACACAGTTATACCGATCTTACCCCCTGTGTAGACAGCGCTATGTCTACGGAAGGGCTTCTCCTGTAGACAAAGCCACCATCTCTCGAGGAGGTGGAGTACCTACGCTGACAGGAGAAGCGCTCCTGTCATCATAAGTAGCATCCTCACGAAGCATGCAGTGCTGCTTTAGCGCATTTCCTTGACCTCCCCCTTCTTACATGCTCCCCTGAAAGAGGAGCACAAAGGAAAGTGCCCAGGGAGCCTGGTGCCAGAGATTCTAAAGCTACACTCAATTGTTACTATACTCTGTCACCAGGAGAAGGGGCCAATCATCCTCATAAGCATCTGGTGGTTGTTGGTGGGGCTCAACACCAAGAAGTTTATTTGTGGTGAGTAAGCACCCCAATGCGCGCTAGGCACTGTCTGAATGTAGGGAGCAGGGACTGCGTCCATAAGCTCACAATCTAGAAGACAAACAAGACAAAGGATAGGAGAGAGGAATAAAGCAAGCAAGCAAAGTCCCATCCAGACTATTAGTAATTTCTTGTAGATGTCATGGGAGAAATGGATCTTTAGGAAGGGTTGATGGAGAAGGTAGTGGTCTGATGGATACTGTGAGAGGAAAGTCTCAGATTCAAGGTTCAAAAAGATACTGGACATAGAATCATAGGAGTGGAAGAGACCTCGAGAGGTCTTGTAGTCCATTCCCCAGTACTCAAGGCAGGACTAAGTATAGACTATCTCTGACAGTTGTTTGTCTAACCTGCTCTGTCACTGGAGATTTTTAAGAGATTTCACAACCTCCCTAGGCAATTTACTCCAGTGCTTAACCGTCCTGACAGTCTGGAAGTTTTTCCTAATGTCCAACCTAAACCACTTTTGCTGCAATTTAAGCTCATTGCTTCTTGTCCTATCCTTAGAGGTTAATGAGAACAATTTGCTTTCCTTCTCCTTGTAACAACCTTTTATGTACTTGAAAACTAATGTCCCCCCTCAGTCTTTTCTTCTCCAAACTAAACAACCCATTTTTTTTTTCCAATCTTCTCTCACAGGTCATGCTTTTTAGACCTTTAATCATTTTTGTTGCTCTTCTATGGACCTTCTCCAATTTGTCCACATCTCTCCTGAAACGTGGCCCCCAGAACTGGACATAGTACTCCACTTGAGGCCTATTCGCAGCACAGCAGAGCAGAAGAATTACTTCTCGTGTCTTGCTTATAACACTCCTGTTAATACAGCCCAGAATGTTTTTTGCTTTTTTTGAAACATCGTTACACTGTTGACTCATATTTAGCTTGTGATCCACTATGACCCCCAGATCCTTTTCCGCAGTACTCCTTCCTAGGCAGTCATTTCCCATTTTGTACGTGTGCAACTGATTGTTTCTTCCTAAGTGGAGTACTTTGCATTTGTCCTGATTGAATTTCATCCTATTTATTTCAGACCATTTCTCCCATTTGTCCAGATCATTTTGAATTTTAATCCTATTCTCCAAAGCACTTACAACCCCTCCCAGCTTGGTATCGTCTGCAAACTTTATAAGTATACTCTCTATGCCATTATCTAAATCATTGATGGAGATATTGAACAGAACCAGACCCAGGACCGATCCTTGCGGGACTCCACTTGATATGCTCTCCCAGCTTGACTATGAACCACTGATAATTAACTACTCTCTGAGAACGGTTATCCAATCAGTTATGCACCCACCTTATAGCAGCCTCATCCAGGTTGTATTTCCCACTTTTGTGTATGAGAAGGTCATGTGAGACAGTATTGAAAGCCTTATTAAATCATATATATAAGATATACCACATCTACCACTTCCTCCCTATCCACAAGGCTCATTACCTTATCAAAGAAAGCTATTAGGTTTGTTCTTGATAAATCCATGCTGACTTACTTATCACCATATTATCTTTTAGGTATCTGCAAACTGATTGTTTAATTATCTTTCCAGGTACTGAAGTTAAGATGACTGGTCTCTAATCCCCTGGGTTGTCTGCAGGGAGATCAAGAATATGTGGAGTTATCATAATTAATGAAAATGCAAATTTTGGAAGGGATGTTAAACCTCACGTTTTAGGATTTTAGCCTAGTGTGTGTGTCAGGGTGTGGGAGGAGGGGGAGAAAGAGCAGATTATCTCACACGTGCCTGCTGTGGGGTCCCTACACCTTCCTCTGAAACATCTGGTGCTGGCCACTGTCATAGACATGATATTGGGCTAAATGGAACTAGGGCAGGTGTAGTCAATACGCGGACTGCAGGCCAAATTCGGACCATGAGATGCTTTTGAACAGACTGCAAAATCTTTTTATTTACTTATTATTATTACTGTGGTGTGAAAAATGTTTCTCTGGAGTCTGGACCTTGACCAAGAAATTTGGACCTTGACAAAAAAAAAAAAATTAACTAACCCTAACCTAGGGTCTATCGTGGTTTCCGATGCAATTCTTATATTCCTATTCCACCCCTAGGTTTCTAAGCAATTCCTGTGTTCTTATTCTCCCCCTAAAAACCAGACTTGTCCTGCCCCTTCAGATGAGATATTTGTTTAACGTGACAGATTAAATAGTGAAAGGCACCTGCTCTTCTCAGAGAAAAGAGAGCTGCTCTTCCCCCTCCTCCCCAATAAATGTATCAGGAGTCATATCTGCTAACATTTGGGACAAAAGTTTTTAGTTCTTCTTAGTCCTGTAGAGCCATGACAGCTCTGGCAGAGTGAGCTGGAATTTACTCTGGCTCATGCATCAGCAACAGGATTGTCGTGAGCAGCTAACTACATTTTCATTTGTAAATTGAGATAGTCTGATTTGGAGACAACAAACACGGAACCCTACAGCGTAATTTTACACTCGCTTTTCAGAGCAGAGCCACACTTTAAATGGCGCCCTGCAAGGATAAGATGCCCCATCCCCTTTGAAACAGACTCTCCCTCATCCCAAACAGTCACTCTATAATTCCCTTGCCCCCAAAACCCAGCCCCGGACAGAAGTAACCAGACCTTTTGGCCCCACACCCATCATTGCCTTGCCAACTTAGAATCAAATGATTCTTGTACCATCTAGTGACCACAGTGAGAACTGCAGTCCCCAGGATACAACATCCACTTTCTCACTTCGTCCTTCTGACACTGACACTCACTCACAGGCACACAGCTCAGGACAGGTTCTGGGGAGCTAAGGTTTTAAGCTGCACTATTATCTCCCCTGCCTATCTCCCCAACTCCTTATATCTGATCCCAAAAGATTCCACTCCTGCTGATTGCCCCCACCCTGCCCACTCCAATCCCAAGTTATGACAACAGCACACGCTGCAGGAAGCCCCAAACCTCTCAAACAGCCCTGCCACACAATGGGAGAAGTTGGGAATGGAGACTTGAAGGCATGTAGCTCATCTCTGGCTAATACAGGGCCGTTCCCTACAGTAAGCTCTCCAATGCTTTGTCTAGTCTAGCTGTAAGTGGCTCCAGTGATGGCTGGGGGCTTCGACTGATTCGTCTGGAAACAAATTCCACAGTCTAAAGGCTCATGTACACTAGGCGTTTTATACCTGGAATTAAACGATTGTCAAATAACTCAAGGTGGTTAATGTATCTGTAAGGACAGTGTTTGCCACTCCCCAAATGTTTACTATAGGCCACAAACATGTGTTTATCCTCAGCAAAGGTTAAAAATCTCTAGCACACACAAATCCTCACAGATTTCACTGTCAGGCATGACGTCCTAATGCGCATCCAGAGTTTCTTTGGCTCAGACTCATCTATTATTCCACGGCCTATGTGCCTTACAGCACAGATATTCAGATTCCTAACCCAAAGAGACTACAGTCTAGTATGTTTCAATAGCTCTTTGAAGCCAAATAATTCCTCACTCTTTTCATCACCATTTAAATACATACAGATGGCAGTGGTTCATAGAATCTCAGGGTTGGAAGGGACCTCAGGAGGTCATCTAGTACAACCCCCTACTCAAAGCAGGCCCAATCACCAATTTTCGCCCTGATCCCTAAATGGCCCCCTCAAGGATTGAACTCACAACCCTGGGTTTAGCAGGCCAATGCTCAAACCACTGAGCTATCCCTCCCACACTGGTTCTCTTCAGACATCTTTTAACCAAGCTATTCTGGTCCATATTTTACTTTGAATCTGTGTCTTATCTCAAACATCATTATCACAGCCCCTCAAGCATTTTTACTGCTCTTCTCTGAACTCCCTCCAGTTTGGGATTATCTAGTAGTGTGGTGCAGTGCAGGGAATGAAATCTCTTATTCCAAGCGAACTGAAGCCATATAATGAGGGATTAACAACTCCCTGATAGCTGGCATGGCTCCCCCTGCACAGCAAACCCATAAAT